TACGACTACTATAACCCAAAACGACTATCCCGCCCGCCAACCCGTCATGTCATCGATATTGGCTGCTGGGGCTGAGCACGCGCAGAAAGTCTTGTAACATACAATGCGAGTAGGGAGGGGGGGCGGCGGGAAGGGGGAGCGACGTAGGGAGGAGGAGAAGGATGAGGAGGACGATGAGGAGGAGGAAGAGGAGGAGGACGACGGGGGAGGAGGAGGAGGAGGAGGAGGAGGAGGAGGAGGAGGAGGAGGAGGAGGAGGAGGAGGGGGAGGAGGAAGAGGATGAGGAGGAGACGGGGAGGAGGCAGGAGTAGGAGGAGGAGGAGGGATGAGCAGGGAGGAGTGAAGGCTCCAAGAAGGCCCCAAGAGGGCCCTAAGAGTGGCCCAGAGAGACCCCAAGAAGGACCCCAAAGCAGCCCCTTCCGAAACATATGCTATGTTTCGGTTGTGTTCCCGCCCCCTTCCAAAAAATGAAATATGTTTCGGTTGCTTTTTCCTCTTGCTGCCGTTTCGGGCTCGTTTAGGGCCCCTTGTAGGACGCCAGTCCACTGGACCCACCAGCACCCCTCGAAAGTGGCGGCAGTTTCGCAGATCCCCCCCCCCCCAGGGATGGCGAGGTCCAATCTGAGCCCCCATAGGACGTCACTCTGCTGGCCCCCCCTGCAGCCCTCTAAAATTGGCCCTTCTAGGGCTTATAATGGGCGCCAAGATGAGCCAATAAGGGCCCCGGGAGGGCTCCAAGAAGTCCCCAAGAGGGCCCTAAGAGTGGCCCAGAGAGACCCCAAGAAGGCCCCCAAAGCAGCCCCTTCCGAAAAATCGAATATGAATATTGTTCGGTTGCTCTTCCCGCCCCCATCCGAAAGAAAACATATTTGTCGGTTGTTTTTCCCTCTTGCTGCCGTTTCGGGCTCTTTTAGGGCCCCTTGGAGGACGCCAGTCCACTGGACCCACCAGCACCCCTCGAAAATGGCGACAGTTTCGCAGATCGCAGCCCCCCCCCCCCCAGGGATGGCGAGGTCCAATCTGAGCCCCCATAGGACGTCACTCTGCTGGGCCCCCCTGCAGCCCTCGAACGTTGGCCCTTCTAGGGCTCATTTGGGCGCCAAGAAAAATCAATAAGGGCCCCAGGAGGGCTCCAAGAAGGCCCCAAGAGGGCCCTAAGAGTGGCCCAAAGAGACACCAAGAAGGCCCCCAAAGCGCACCCCCTAAGGATTTGTTTCTGGATTCCTATGGATTTGCAAATATTCCTAAGAATTCCTGACGGAATCCGGAGGAGTCCTGATCCTAAGGATCCTAAGGGATCCCAAGGACCCCTAAGGAATCCTAAGGATCCTAAGGGGTCCTAAGGAATCATAAGGAACCCTAAGAAATCCTAAGGAATGAAAGGACTTCTGAAGAAGACTTAAATACTTTTGAAGAAGAAAGCAGTACTTCTGAAAAAGAAAGAAGTACTTCTGAAGATCCCATGTTTGTAATTGGTCCCATGTATGGTTGCAATTCGCTCCGAACGGTTGGAATTGGGACCAGTCGGTTGTAATTCGTCCCATTTCGGGGGGAGGGGCGGGGGGAGGAGGAGGGAGGGGGGTTTAGGGAGAGAGGGAGGAGGGGGAGGGGAGAGAGGCAGGCCGGAGAAACGCGAGGAACCACAACCACAGATGGCCCCTCCTCCTCCTCCTCCTCCTCCTCCTCCTCGTCCGCCTCCTCGCGATCCGTCTGGCCCCTATGGACCGCCTGGCATAGGAGAAAACCGAAACCCCGACACAAACTGAATCCATAGTTTCTCTGATTAGGCGTTACAGCTCTTGTACAACATGAGATTTCGCCTACTGGTGGGCCCGGGGACCGTCGCAGATCGACCTGGCTCGAACAGTGCTGCAGAAAAATCGGGTCCACTTCCAGTTGTGAAGCCTCGTGTTTTTTTTTGTCGCAGCGTCGGATCTGAGGCTCTGCCCGGGCCTTCTCGCGCTGCTTCTTCTGCAGCTTGGTTTCCGGCGCGCAGGTGGCCCAGGGACCGTCAGCGATTGGCTCGCGATGATGAGGAGCTGGCCCCCTCGCACAAACGAGAATCAATCTGAGCGTCCTCCACAGAGGGGGAGAGAGAGAGAGAGAGAAAGAGAGAGAGGGTGAGAGAGAGAGAGAGAGAGATGGGGAGAGAGAGAGAGAGAGAGAGAGAGAGGAACGGGAACAACTCAAAAACGCGAGGTGCCGTTATGCCCCATTGCCCGGCCCAGGGGCCGTCAGCGATTTGGCTCGCGATGATGAAGAGCTGGCCCCGGGGACGGGGTCCCCGAAGGAGCCGTGGCGTGGGGCGTCTGGGCTCGCGCTCCCCGCCCGGGCAGGGGCGCAGCAGGCGGCAACGGGGTCAAGGCAAGGTCAGCCTTCCTCTCGGAGCGAGGGTGCCGTGCTTCACCAGGGCTCGCGTCGGGCGTGTCCCTCCACAGGAGGAATGCTCAAGCATTGGCGGACAAAAACAGTCAGGGGACGCTGTCCTAGCATTCCCGGATCGTTCTGGCATATGTGTGGCCTATCTCTCATTTGCGCCCCCAAATCCGCCTGTAGAAGGGACGTGCCCGACTTACACCAAGGCTGCTCTCGCAGCCCATCTCCTGGGGCCCATGCGGCCCATGCGGCCCATGCGGCCCATGCGGCCCATCTCCTGGGGCCCATGCGGCCATGCGGCCCATGCGGCCCATGCGGCCCATGCGGCCTGTAGAAGGGACGTGCCTATGCGGCCCATCGTCAGCCAATCTCGCGACCCAGCTCCTGGGGGTGCTTGGGGCCCAAGGGACCTGCACCCTCACTCGCATCCCTGCTCTGGTGGCGGACTGCGTAGTGGCCTTCGGCCCAGGCCGCCACCGTGCCTGGGTTGTGGGCCAGAGGCATCTTGGAGGCCTCCTGGGGTGTCTTAGCGGGGCCTTTCGAACACTTTTCGAGCCCCTCAGCGGTCTTTCGAGAGGCCTTCATTCAACGTCTTGGGGATATCAGGGGGTCTCTTGGGGGGCGTCTTGGGGTCCTGCTTGCGGTCTCGGGGGCCGTCTTGGGGGGATGGCCCCTGGAGTTCTTTCGAGTTTCTCCTCGTATTCTTTTACTGGAACAATCTTCCTCGCCTGTCTGGGTTGTCGTCTTGTAACGATCTTGGGAGACTCTCGCCCAATCTGCTCTTGAATCCGAAAAGCCCATCACGTTAAAACATACAAGCGTATACGCCATATAGGAGAGTCCTTGCGGCGGGTCTGCCGACACTGCAGGGGGATCAAGAGGTCCCAGGAACACCGAACATAGCACGAATGCAGGCCGAGGATTGTCTCAGAAAGGTTTGAGGAACATCTCGGGACTGGAGAAGACAGAACATCGTGCCACCCCTATACGGTAGGTTCGCGTCGTGTCGACCAGTGGCGTCCCCGCCGCGGGCGTTCAAGGTTGAACGTCACCAGTGGCCCAGAATCGGCACACACATGGAACGATCGCGTGATCGGAAAGCCGCTGATCGTTCAAGGTTGAATCATCCACGCGGTGTCGGAAACCAACGCCGGGGTCGTCACGACACGAGCCTGCCGTACAGTTTTAAGTCGGGCCTGTCCCTCTACAGGAGGAACATTCAGAAACAGTAAAAAAATCGTCGGGGGACGATTTTTTAGTGTTTTGGGCTATTTTTGAGTATTGTTGGCATCTCTTATTTTTCGTGCGCACTCCGCCTGCAGGGGGGCACGCCCGACCTGAGCACAGCGGCCTTCGGCCCAAGCCGCCACCGTGCTCGGGTCGTACACCGGAGGCCGTTCGGCTGCAGCCGAGGCTCTCTCCCGGGGTGCCTCCTCGGAGGCGGAGGGGGCCAGGGCGAGGGGCGCTGCCCCGAGAGGCCCGGCGTGCGGGCGGGATCAGGTCGGGCCTGTCCCTCCACAGGGGGGAATACCCAGAGATATTCCAACAAATAGTCTTTTGAAGCATTTTTTTAAATTTTTTCGAGCATTTTGGGGGTACAGCTGTTTTATTTTTCGTCCAACATCCGCCCGTAGGGGGACATGCCCGACCTAATGGTAGGATCTTCCAGCGCACGTTCTGCGTGAGGCGATGTGGAAGGTGCTTTTTCAAGGGAGTCAACAAAAACACCTCGACCCCGAGAACTGGCGTCTGCGAAGAGGCCCTGGGCGTTTACTGAACAGCCCTGCCCTGTTCGATTCCTTCCCTGGGTGCGTGTGCCAAACGTCTTCGCTTGCCGGGGTGCCTATTCTGGGGGGTCGGTTCTCTGCTCTTTAGCTTCGGCAGATATGGAATGAGGGCGACTGCCTGTTGAGCCATTGGTTGGGCTCTTCTTCCATTTTGGACCAGTCGAGCCTAGCAGCCGCCAGCAATCTAACAGCCGCCGCCACAAGTAGCAGCAAATGTGCGGCACAGCTCTTTTTTGCCATGTGCTGGTGATCACGACGACGAGAACGAAGACGACGGTGACGACGACCATGAGCGCAGTGATGGTGACGAGGCCAGAATCGCGATGATGACGAGGAGGATACATGCGCTCCTGACTTCCTGTTGTCCCTGGCTTGGCCCGCCGCGCTTGGCCAGTCAGCGCTGCCCCAGGGCAAGTTTGAGCTGCGAGGTGGCGACAAGTCCAAGCGCATAGAAACGGAGGACGCCTGGAGGGCGCGCCGAGGGATGCCCCAGATGAGGGGGGAAATGGTCGGTCCCCCACTATCTCCCCCCCTCCCCCCTTCTCCTGGCCCGTCGTCCTGGCACCCCCTCACTCCCTCCCACCCCTTCCCGATCCGTCGTCCCAGACGTCCCCCCCCTCCGTCCTTCCACAAGGGGTGGGTTGGGGTTTGACCCCCTCCTTACTACTTGGACTAGAGCATCGGCCTCCTTCCCCCTCTTGGGCCGCACCGCCCCCTTGGTCTGGAACCCTACCACCCTACCACCCTACCAGCCTGATCCTAGTACCCAAACCGTAGGCCCTTGACCCTACCACACTGACCCTCAGCACTAGCCCCAAGTCCCTGATCCTATGATTT